GACTGTGGGCAAGTTAGTTGACCTCTCCCAGCCTCAGTTTCCTCATCTGCAAAATGGGGGTAATGGTGTCTACTTCTCTAGGTGGGAGTGAGGAATCAATTAACTAGAATAATGTATGTGAAACATCTGGCACATATTAGTGCTCAATACGTGTGGGTACCTTTCCTGTCCCACTTTCCTACACCTCTCTGCCACTTATCTGGACCCTAGTGACCCTGGACTGTCTAGCACTTGGCAGTATCACTTTTACCTGGTCAGCTTGGTTAACCCTTCTGATGTGCATATCTAGTGTTCCTAAATATCCTAACCCAGAAGAGGAATTTGTTTTCCTTAGCTAAGAATCATTTGAGGGCCACATACAAGTAAAAAGTAATTTAGTTTTTCTCTGCCTCAGAGAGAAAATATAACATGTCACACTAATATTTAAAATTTAGAGCAGGGAACATAAAACTTTTACTCACTACAAGAGCAGCAGTCCAGAGGGAAATAATCCTCTGGGCTGAATCAGCACTGAGCTGAGCAACGGAGACTCAGGGACAGACGAATCCAGCAGAGAGCCTGGCCAGCAGGCACAGTGAAACCCAAGGGGCCCTCCCAGTGATGAGGAAGAGGTAAGATAGAGGCTGGCATTTGCTTAGAAGACCCAGAGCATCTTACCCGAGCACCCAAGGACATACTACCTTTAACACTAACCAGCTCTGCTAGTTTAACCTACAATTACCCTGCTCCAGGTCCTGGGCTGGGCACTGAGGTTCCTGGGAAAGTAACACAGTCCGGCACTTTAGGGGAAGCCTAGGGGGAGGGAGCCCAAGAAGACTGGGAAAATGGGCCTGGTGAGGCTCACTCCCTGTCAAACTGAGAAAAGCACCATGTCTGAGAGGCAGGCAGCTAACCGAGCGCCGGCGGGGCTCCATTTACAATCTGGTGAGCCTGTATTGGTATAACTTGTATTGAGAGCCTTTTGAGATGTCTTGTGACCTTGTGACCTTCCCCTTCTTTGGTGCTTTTGCCCCCTGTAGTGACAAGCAGTTAAAAAAAAAAAAAAACAGAAAACACTCAGAAGGGCAGAGTTTGCTCAGGGATCTGCAGACTGGGCAGAGGTTAAGACCTCATTCAGTTCTGCAGTGGAATGGGGTGCAGGGAGGGGGTATGGGGCACAGGGCAGAGCAGGACAGGAGTGGCTGCAAGCCCCACTCGGAAATGCCCTGGGATGGTGTACTCTGGCTGGGAGCTCTGAGATGAATCATGAAGGCCCGCAAAGGGAGTCCGGACCCCTTTGCCTTGGTCCTCAGCCCCAGGCCAGAGTGGCCCCTTGGCCTGGGGGAGGGGGCAGGAATCCAACACCCCTCCCACAGGCCTTGCTTTACTGACCTCGGATCTGCAGGTTGGAGAAGGTTTGCACAGGAATGGTGATGCTGAAAGAAAGCAGAGGGAAAGGCGAGACCAGTCTGCCTTAGGACATCCCCAGGCTGGGTCCTGGCCCAGGGTCATCATGACAACCTTGAGGCCCTTTCCCTTGCTGGGAAAGTCTGACTCCATCTCCTAGCTTTCCCCAGCAGCTGGCGTGCTCCCTGGAGCTCAAAAAGTCTGCAAGGGACTTAGGTGTTATCTGTGAGCGGAGAATCTCTATTTGAAAGAAAGTGGCAGCTTGTGGTGAAGAAAATTCCAAGGAGGCAGAGGGATCTGTCAGGTGGAAAGAAATCCAATCTTGATTGGGAGGGTTGGGAGTGGGCCTCTTAGTTGGGGGGTGATCCAAGTCCTTGGCCCTGGGACCCAATCAATATGGGTTGAATCCATTCATTCATCAGACATTCATTAAACACCTGCTGTGTATTAGGCAGGCACTGGTGGAGGGGGTGGGACACAAGGCTGAATGAGACTCAGCCCCTGAAGGGAGCAAGGCAGACTCTACAGAGGGGCAGGGGAGAGTTCCCTGGGGCTGTGGGGGGCTCACCGGTTCTCCTCGCCCTCCAGCAGCTTCCTGTAGGTGGCGATCTCGATGTCCAGGGCCAGCTTGACGTTGAGCAGGTCCTGGTACTCCTGCAGGTGGCGGGCCATCTCGTCCTTGAGACTCTGCCCCTCCTCTTCCAGCCGGGCCAGCGCCTCCTGGTAACCCGCCGCCTCCCGCGCATGGCGCTCGTCCTGCTCGCGCATCTGCCTCTCCAGGGACTCGTTCTGCGAGATGGAGCCGGCGGGGCCCCCGGGGCCCCGCTCCAGTCCCAGGCCCCGCGTCCAGCCCCCGGGGCAACTTCTCAGAGCCGCGCCCTCAGCCCTGGTCCCCTCCCCTGGCCCTTCTCCTTTAGAAGAAGAGTGGCCAGTCCCCTCTAGAGTTGTGGCCGGGCCCCTCCCATCCCTGTCCGGCCCTGCCCGCGCTCACCGTGCCGCGCAAGGACTCCAGGTCGCAAGTCAGGGCCTGCAGCTGGCGCCGGTAGTCGTTGGCCTCGTGCTTGGCCTGACGGAGCAGCTCCGTGTTGCGGGCAGCAGCGTCCGTCAGGTCTGCAAACTAGATGGGGAGAGGGCCGTAGGCTGAGGGGCAGGTCGGGACCCTGGGGCCATGAGGGGTGGGCACCAAGGGGGGGCGAGCTGTGTGGTCCATGGACAAGCACGGTCTCTGGGAAATCAGGGAGGTGGGCAGGACCCATGTCAGCCCCAGAACATTGGCCCTGGCTGGGATTATTCCCAGCAACTGTGACCCACAGACAGAGGGCAGGTAGCCACCGCTGGGCCTCAGCACCTAGCACAGTGCAACAGAATCCAGAACCTTCTGCACTAGCAGCGGCATCTGCCAGACTGAACCCTGGCCTCCCTTACCCCAGACAGCGGGCTCTGACAAGCAGAACCCTGGGTTCTAATGGCCCTTTCTCCACCAGCTTGCAGGGAGGCCCTCACAGCTCCATCAGGCCTCAACCCTGCTCAGATGGTCACAGGTCACCGCTTCTGCTACTCACACTCCTCAACTTGGCACCCTGGGCCCTGCCCCTCGGTGCTTTTCTGCCTCAGGCCCCTGCACAGACTCTGGCCTCCACTCAAAATGGCCCTTTCCTCTTCTCTTCGTGTCCATAGCCTGCCTGTCCTGCCTCGCCCAAGTGCCACCCCCCCTTCTATGACATCTTCCTTGGTTCCCGCACTGCGTATAAACTCTGCCCTGTGGTGTTCTCTATGGGCACCATATTTGGGTCCACATCACATCTCCCCATGTGTCCTGGGAAGTGCCTGGCATACAGTAGATGAACAGGAACCCAGGACATAGACTGGCAGAGGCATTGAGAACGCAGGCTGCCAAGTGAGAGGGGCTAGGGTCGGAACGCTACCACTTAGGAGCTGTGTGACTTTGGGCAAATTAGCCTCTCTGGGCTTCAGTTCTCTCATCTATCAAAGAATAGTACCTACTTCATAGTAAGATAATGCATGCAAAGCACAGCGCCTGGCACACAATAATGTTGGCTGATAATAATAATAGTAGTAAAAGCGGCAATAATAATAATGAGTATTTCTGTAAGTAATAGTGCCTGTGTGACCCTGGGCAAGTCGTCTCACTTCTCTGGTGAAGGTCAGAGGGAGTATGCTCTGTTTCTTACACCCTCTTTCTCCATTTGTATGGAGCAAGGGCGGCTGCCCAGAGGAGGCAGGTTGGGCCACAGCAGGGCTACCTTGGACCGGTACCACTCCTCTGCCTCCTGCATGTTGCTGGACGCCACTGCCTCATACTGTGTGCGGATCTCTCTCAGGGCCGCTGTGAGGTCTGGCTTGGTCATGTCCAGCTCCACATGGACCTGCTGTCGGGCCAGCTGCTCCTGCAGTTCCCGCAGCTCCTGGCCAGGGTGAGAGAAGGGTTACCAGGGGTCAGGGCCCTGGCTGCAGCTGAGGTTCCCCACAGCATCATGCCCTCTTCTGCCTGTCCCTCGACCATGGGCATTGGCTAAGGGAAAAGGGGCAACCCTTGGAGAAAGTAGCATGGCCCAGGCTAAGGGAGGCAGTTTGGGGACCCCATAGCATCCTCCTCCCAGTGCTGAATGGGCAGGAGCCAGGCGCTCAAAGTGTGCCCATGTTCTCGTGGGAGATTGACTGACTGCATCCCTGTCGGTAGGTGTGATGTGGGTCCCCACATTGCATGGGGTCATGGATTCTGAATCCAGGGCCTGAGGTCAAGAGCTCAGTGGGATTGTTTTTTTATGAATGGCTCTCATTTTAATGGGGACAGACGCAGAGGGGGTGGAGTCAGAGAGACTAACTGGGACCTAAGCACCTTCTTTAACCTCTCTGGGCCTCAGTGTCCTCCTCTGTGAAAAGGAGATGATACTGGAAGTGTTCTCTCTCGCAGAGGTGTTGTGAAGGAGAAAACAAGGCAGCAAGGCCTGCTACACTCAGTCGTGCTGTGTTGCTGTTGTGCTCTCAGTACACGGAGTGTGTGTCTGTGCTCGTGTTACCAGGGTTCGGGATGCTCTCTTGTCTCTCTGTCTTCACTCGCTGTCCCTCATTTTCTCTCTCTGTCTGCCAATCTCTGTTTCTCTCTCTCTTTCTCTCTCTCTCTCTCTCTCTCTCTCTGTCTCTGTCTCCATTTCTCTCTCTCTCTCTCAATTGCAGTCTCTGTGTTGGGCTTTCCACCCTCTGCTTGGCCTCACCTNATTTTTGTGGGCAGGTCTGGGGCCTGGTCTGGGAAGTAGGGAAGCCTGAGGCAGGTGGGAGATTGGGGACCAGGGTTAGGATGGAAGTAGCCAGGGTGCACACACTCAGGTCAGAGAAGGAAGAAATGAACTAATATTTCAGTGTTGAATGGTGTTTGAGGTGCTTTATCTTCTTGCCTTTGAGGATTGCCAAGTGGGCCCTGGTTGGATTGGGGGGAGCGGGGAATGGGAAGGAATTAAAGAGTGGAGGGA